AAAAAGTCTGATGTCAAGGGCTTACATTCCCGTCAAACATTTCATAAGCTATGTTAATCGCTTTGGTCAAGCCGATCTCATCATTCTCTTCATGTCCCTTATTTGATGATAAAGGTGTAAGTGAAATATCAAAACCAGGACCATCAACTGGAGAAGCCATTGCGGACTTTTCGATGCATGCATCTGTAGGGTGTAAAGAAATAGGATGAATGGCTTCTTCAGGTGTGTGAATGGTAGACTGTACAGGCTTGACCAACTGCTGAACAAAAGAATTGAGTTTGGTAATAGCATCTTGTTGAGCTTTGAACTTCTGCTCATACAAAAGAATCTCATTCTGCACTGTCTCTATTTTGTTTTCAGCCGCCAGAAGTCTGCCTCTCAACTCTTCATGCATAGCCTGACATGTAGTAGAACAAGAAATGGAGTGGTTGTTGGTCGAAGGAAGATTGATTGCTTGGTTTAGTTTGACTGATTTAGAGGATGACCTGGTACGTATGGGGGAGGTTGAGTTTGGGGAGGCAGGAGGAGATAAGATGGTGTCCTGGATGGATTTTATTGGAGGTAATTGAAGGCGATTATTCTTCTTTGTTATTGGTGGAGGCGGCCTGGGTGGTTTTGACTTTGAGGATGAAGTGTTTGTGGTAGGACTTATGGGTGGTGAAGGAGGCTTAGTACCAGTGGGGTCTTTCATGGGTGATGAAGATGGGTCCGTTGAGGCAGCATTGGGAAGAGTGTTTTTTTTTTGGTTTTTTTCTCAAACTTTTGATTTGAATCGGGCGGTCATTGTGCGGATGCATTGGGGTGTACACAAACTGTTTAAGAGAAAATTTAAAGGGGGTTAAATCAGTGTCATAATGAAATTTAATTTAAGAAATGATAACTAATTAAAACCACAACTTACGTCTTTCTTGCAGAATATTACAGTCTTCAAAATATCAGCATTTGTTTTAGATGTTGAAGACCATTTCAGACATAATGGAACAGCATCCGGGTCAATACAAAGAGCTAGACCTATTTCCCTAAGGGCTGGAAATGTCTCAAAAGCCCAGATTTGAAGTGCCAGGACACAACCATAGAGATTGTAATGGTCACGATTACACTTCAAACTAGCAGCACATGATCTAAAATAAGTATCCATGTGATCCCATACCACACGGCCCCATGGATAGTTATTAAAACTTTCTAAGCTATTGACAAGAGTAACAAACAGACCGTTCACAGAAACTTGACCCTCAGCCGCTAAAAAGGAGTGTGTTAAAACGTATAACAGTGACAACTTAAGCATATCATCATCAGACTCTTTACCTATTTGTACAGATTTCAAGACTTTCTTAATGTCATTGCGCTTGATAGACTTGGAACAAGAGGGGAAGTATTTTTCCCATATACGACCCTTATCAGTCAGTTCATTATTTGGACAAGGAAGGGGATCAGTGACATTAAAACCAAAGATGGCAGCAAAGTGGGATATAGAGAATGTAGCAATTTTACCCTGAATTTGAAAAACAAAATCTCTGGGAACACTTATGTCACTCTCTTCAGATTTAAGCATATTACCAAGCAGAAAGTGAATTAGTTGGCCAGAATGGAACATTTCTTTAGAGTCTAGGAATTTCCCAAAAACTGTTTTACGGAAAAGAACTAGCTGACGAGGGAGTAACTTCGACCTAACTAGATTCATAGACTCATACAGCCTACAGAAAGTGTTCACCTTCGCCTTCACACCCCGATTTACAATGCCCTTACTCACATATCTTTCCAAAACCTGATAAAATATTGAAATAATAAATTATTTAACAAAGAACATAGCACATGTCAATAGCAAGCAAATGTCTCCTTATTGAAAGGAAATGAAAATAACTTACTAAATTGGATGTTGACTTCGGGTCATTCATCTGAATAGAAGAAGGAATAGTGGTAAGGGCGGTGGGGAAACAAAGTCACTGTCCGACATTGCTGAAAAAAAAATTGTTAAGAGAAGATGCAATAATGAAAGATCAATGACATTGACATAATTTCCATTACTAATACAAGAGAAAGTACAACATAACAATTAAAACATAGAATACTTAGAGCAAATATGATTACTACTACATAGTCACAAGTAACAACAGAATAGCATAAATCCCAGAGCAAATATGATACAAAACAGAGAATACTTAGAATCAACATGAATAAATAATAGAGATTTTAAAGCAAACACCAAACATAGTGGCAAAAATGATAGTATTAAATAATGAAAGTAGCAGCAGAAGATGACTTGTTTCAACTTTGTTTAACACCAATATGAAATTAGGTTCATACTTCAACTAACGAATTGAACAGAGATTTCATATATACAAGTGACTATAGATTATCATGGCAAATTTGTGTCTAGTAATGGAGTATACGTTGGCTATTTTTCAAAACCGTACATATGAGTGCATGCAAAAGGGACCGATACCTAAATTACAAATCAATTGTGCTACACATTTGAACAACACTCATTAATCTAAGAACAAAAAAACAAGTAAGCGATGCAAAACAAATTCAAAAACAACATGCAACACAATGAAATCGAAATCGCAAAACTATTCAAATATAAACTGATATTCGATTTCTCAGCATTAATCGATCAACACAAGAGTTCTACATTAGATTTTCCAAATACAAAAGAAATTGAAACCGAAAAGAGAAGTAGAACACGTCAAAAAAAGGTGAAGTATGAAGAAAACTTAGCGGAATTTACCAGTTAGAAAGAGCAACAACCACACGACTCAGTTCCGGCGACAAGACGAGCGACAGATTTAGCTTCGGTGATAGAACAATCGATAATTTCGGTGAGCGTAGAAGCAACTGAGAGTCTGAGACTGAGAGAAAGAGATGGAAGTAACGGTAGAATTTTTTCTCGAAGAAGATGAATATAGTTAATGAGAGAGAGAGATATGGCGGAAAGAAGGCGGTTGCATTTAAAGTCAGATTAGAGTGCAGATAAAGTCATAATTCTGGAAAACTTAAAAGAGTTAATACGTTTGGAAAGTAAAAGTCCATAAGTAATTTCCGGGCCATTTTTTCGATTAACAATTGGTTTTTTATAAAATGTCATAACTTTTTCTTTTGTGGTTGGAACTTTACAAAAAAAAATATCAAATTAAATAATTTTTTATAATCTTTCATATTGTGGCACTCTAATTGATACATAATGCATATTCAAACTGTACATATCAATGATATAATGCTACACAAATTGATTCATACCCGCACACAATGTCTTTGAAAAGCTCAAAGACACTGAAATGCGACACGATCGTCGATTCCCAAGCCCCGTATTTGTTTTTTAGAACCCTTACATAACCGAAAGTTGCAATTATTCAGATACTACACCATACTACACTATCCATACTACTACTATCCAAGTAAGATGATACTACTACTATCCATACTATTAGTGTTCCTTGATAGTAATACTACACCAAGTAAGATGATACTACTACTATCCATACTATTAGTGTTCCTTGGAAGTGAAAAAATGTATATAGTTTCTGAATTCCATAAACTAGTTTGTCTAATTTTTTTAAGTATTATACTTGTCTTTTAATTCCTAACTTTCAGCTCTAAATTGGATGGTCATGAACTGAAATCACAAATCACCAAAATTTACAGGGGTGTCTCTACTCTCTGGTTCATTAACATATTCAAGTTCTACTCTGGTACCCATTTAAAAAAGGGAAAATGAAAACTAATAATCTAACCTTTTAGCGGTCTTCTTTCAATAATCCCACCTTATGATTATTCATGAATAATCCAACCTTTGCACCTCATCTTCATTCGTTGGTCCCTGGTCGGTTAATGACCTACTATTCCAAGTTATTTTCTTATCTTTGCAAAATATTATCTTTGTGAAAGATGAGATTTATGGTATAATGATTTGCAAAGATAAGAAAATAGCTTGGAATAGCAGGTCGTCAACCGGTCAGGGACCAGTGAATGAAGATGAGGTGCAAAGGTTGGATTATTCATTTTTTTTGATACATCGGAAAGGATAGGTTGGATTATTCATGAATAACCAAAAGGTTGGATTATTGTAAGAAGACCGCTAAAAGGTTGGATTATTAGTTTCCATTTTCCCTTTAAAAAATGGGTACGGTACCTACCATTCACTTTATTGGTCCAAATCATTATATCATTTTTAATTTAGATTTAAATAAGTCAACTGCATCATTCTGAATTCTGATTGATTCATATGAACAAAGGTATGGTACGGTACCATAGAATCTACCTTTCATTAAAATCTCTAATGTGGATTCCAAGTGTTAGGTTGAAGGCCACTATCACCATAAGCCCCCTTGAAAATATAATAAAAAAAGGTTTAAATATGGTTTTAGTCCCTGCAAATATAGGCCACTTTGTTTTAGGTCCCTGCAAAATATTTTCTTTGTTTTCCATCCCTGTAATATGCACTATTTTGGTTTTAGTCCATCTCTAACGCCGAAACAACTCTACTTAGAGCTTTTTTATTGTCGGTTGCATAAATCAACTAGAAGCATTTAAATTTATCAGTTTATAATTTTTTTGAGGTTAATAAGAGAGCTAAAACAATATTAAAACTAATTATTCACATTTTAAAAAAATATTAATAAAAAATCCTTTAAAAATGAAATTAAATACTTTTTGAATAGTATGACAAAGAATTTAAGGATACCTATTAGTCGGGATTGTTTTGGTGTCAAATAGAGGTTGTTATCATTAATCATGGACTAAAAAGAAAATGAACATAAATTTCAAGGATGAAAAACAAAGAAAATATTTTGTAAGGACCTAAAACAAAGTGATCTATATTTGCAGGGACTAAAAACATATTTAAACCTAAAAAAAATTAAAATATGCTCCGTTTGGAATGAAATCGGGACCACTCGGTTAGGTCCCAATTTATAATAATCGGGACCAGGTACCCTCATTTAGTCGGGGTAACTGGTCTTTGCCCTAGACCAGAATAATGGACCAAAGTTCCGGCTTGCACGGATGGAAGCATTCGGAAAGTACATGATGGAGATCATAATAGGAGCATGGATGTGGGGAAATAAGGTGCCTCTGAGGTTTTAGGATCGGTTCATAAGAGTCACAAGATCGAGGAGAAAAGGAAGGCTGACAAGGCTAAAGCCTTACAGCTCTCTAAAATGTTTCAAGAGCAGGATAAAATTGATCAAGAAGAAGACGATGGTGAAGAAACAACACATCCATCTACTGATGAGCTGAGCGGGGCAAAGGTTCTCCATGGGCTTTACAATGTTCTTGAAGGGGGTTCAGTTATCTTAACACTCAAAGATCAGAACATACTTTCTGGTGATGACATAAATCAAGAGGTTGATATGCTTGAAAATGTCGAAATCGGAAAGCAGAGGCGGAGGGATGATGCATATAAGGCTGGAAAGAAGACAACAGGAATATATGATCAGATTGATGAGACTGGTTCTGAAAAGAGAATGCTTCCCCAATACGATGATCCCTTGTAGGAAGAGAGCATGGTGCTTGATGATACTGGACGTTTCAGCCGTGATGCAGCGAAGAAACTGGAAGAGCTCCGGAGAAGAATTCAGGGGGTTACCACAAAAAACCATGCTGAAGATCTCAATTCTTTTAGGAGAGTATTGACAGATTATTATACTCCTGAAGAAATGCTTGAATTTAAGAAGCCCAAGAAAAGGAAATCACTAAGAAAGAAAGAGAAGTTGGACATAAATGCCCTTAAAGCAGAGGCTATTTCTACTGGATTGGGTTCCATGGATCTTGGTTCTAGGAATGACAGGACAAGGCAACTCCTTAAGGAGGAGAATGAGAGAGCAGAGGCTGAGAAGCGAGACAAGGCATACAAGATTGCATATGAAAAGGCTCAAGAAGCATCTAAAGCTCTTCGACCTATGAACAATGTTATTTCTGAGGAAAATGATGATATTGTGTTTGATGATGACGATGAAGAGCTTAGAGAATCACTGGAAAGGGCAATAAAATTAGCTCTGAGAACTCAAGAGGAGGCTGTTAAATCTGTATCAGAAACCATTGCTCTGCTTGCTTCCACTTTGAATGAAAACAATTCTACTATAGATGATAATAACCATAGCTCTACATCTGGGGACTTGAAAGAGAATAAGGTTGTCTTCACAGAAATGGAAGAGTTCTTTTGGGGTCTTCAGCTTGATGTTTTCATGGAAGAAGATGCTATACTTCATTCTCCAGATAAAGCATCTATAAGTGAGGCTGGTGGTTGGTCCATGGTGAAAGAAGTCGAAGAAAAAGAAACGGACTTAAAGAGAAGTCAGTTCCAGATGGCACAATGCATGAAGCTGCTATCGGGAAGGGGTTATCTGGAGCTCTCAAACTTCTGAAAGAGCGAGGGTCACTCAAGGAAGCAATCGAATGGGGTGGTCGAAACATGGACAAGAAGAAAACTAAGCTTGATGAGGAAGGGCCTAAGGAAATACACATTGAAAGGACTGATGAGTATGGTCAAATTTTGACTCCAAAAGAGGCATTTCGGCAGCTGTCCCATAAATTTCATGGAAAGGGACCTGGCAAATCGAAACAAGAAAAACGCATGCGCCAATATCTAGAAAAGAGAAAGATGACACAAATGCAAAATTCAGACACACCATGGCAGTTGGCGGAGAGAATGAGGGAAGCTCAAGAATATCTAAAGACACCTTATATGGTTTTAAGTGGAAATGTTAAACCAGGTCAAACTAGGGATCCCAGAAGTGGTTTTGCTGCTGTTGAGAAGGACTTCTCTAGAAGTTTAACACCCATGCTTGGTGATAAATAGGTTGAACACATCGTGGGCATAAAGAGGAATCCTAACCTGGGTGGGGACTCTGCCTTGCAAAAGAAACTCAGAAACTGATTTGCTACTTTGCTTTTATCAAAGACTGGTCTATAGTATCGGATTGTATGATAACTTAACTAGTTTTTAGTCATATTTTTGTAAATACTTTTATTTTAGTAATATTTTTAAAAATTATTTACCAATGTATGATCTCAAATAATTTTTGAGTGAGGTACATGCGTAGTCCAATGCTCGGTGTACACAAGGAGTCACCACATTAAATAAAACTCACATACTGCCACCGCTGGGATTGAATTTGAGCCACTATAAAAAAAGTACCTAGTACAAATTTTGTTACATTGTTACGTAATCCGTCCTTAACAAGGTTACTAAGGGTTACGGAAAAATAACTAAACCAACCAATATATATTTGGTACTGAACAATTTTGTTTCGAACTCTAGACGTGCCAGAAGCACAAGATTTGTGCACTGATATGAAGCAGAATCTGGGCTTGGAAGAAGAGGGTCAGAAGCCCTCGTGGGTTTACCGAAGGCGGGACGGGCTTGAGCCCACCTTCGTGGGCTGGTTGCGGGCTGTTTAAATAATATTTATTCTTTTTATTTTTCCTGATTTGTTTCCTTTTGAAGTTAATTAGGATTCATTCTTGGGCATCTTGGAATGGGTCGGGGTGAGGTAGGTAGGGTAGGGGTAGGGGTAGGGTAAGGTAGGGTGGCGGTCGGTGGGGTCGGGATCAGGGTGGAGCCAAGGTAGGGGTAGGGTGGGGTCGAGGTAAGTAGGGTAGGATGGCGGTAGAGTGGGGTAGGGATCAGGGTAGGGCCCAAGGTAGGGGGCTTGTGGTAGGGGTGGGGTAGGTAGGGTGGGGGTAAGGGGTAGGGTAGGATGTGGGGTCGGGATCAGGGTGGGGGTAAGGTAGGGTGGGTCGGGTAAGGTCGATGTGGTAGGGGGTGGCGGTAGCTATGGATTGGGGTGGGGCCGAGGTGGGGGTGGGGTAGGGTCATTGTAGGGAAAAGGGGTTGGTCGGGGGTAGTAGGGTAGGGCGGCGGGGTGGGGCCGGGGTAGTAGGGTAGGGCGGCGGGGTGGGGTAACAATAGGGAAAGGACCAGGGGTAAATTCGAAAACTGAAAAAGCTTAAAGTGCCGCTTAATTAATACATTGGGGACTGGTGTGCTTAGTACGCGCCACTTTAAGTACCTCTTTCTCTTACTAACCTAATCGTGACTTTAGCAGCGAAGTAAACGTCTCCATGGAGTTGTATTTTACTCCTTAGTACGCTTTGTTTGTATCTAATATTCTAATATATAAAAGTAATACATTTTGGTTCTTAGTTCTTACCTCGCTCACGCTCAAGGACACTAAAATCCTGAATCCCAATCATTCATTGCTTTAACGCCTCACGGCCTCATACTCGATTATCTTACATCTGATCTCTTCCTCCCTTCCAATTTAAGTTAGAATTTAACTTTAATACAAGTATTGTATAAAGCACGGAGTGGTATTTAAGAGAATATGCTTTTAAGGATGTTTTCTTTTGGATTGAAATTTGTTGATATGATTTGGTCTGGTAAACGTCTGGTCTTTGTGTATTTTATAACTACGGAAGTCTAGTTTGGTCTGATCTAATCTGATCTAGTCTTGTCTGGTCTGGGACTGAAAACAGTCCATAAGAAAACATCCTAATTTCTTACTCGTCTTCCAAACTTAGAAAACGTATGGTTTGACCCCGTGGTGAGATTGAGCTTTTTACTATGTTTCGGTTGATAATTGCAGTGGGCTTGATCCAACCCGCGACAAACGTGACATATAACATGTTGATGTTCGTGTATTATCCAAACTCTATAGTCTTCATAGTCCACCGTGCCATATAGCCCATACATAATATTTATGGCACAATTTTGAATTTAATTTTTAAGTTTTTCATTATGTCTATGTAGTTATTTATGTATTTTGAGTTCAAAAAAGATACAAATGCCTTGATGCACACATATAAATTGACATTATATATAAATTTATTGTCTTTATTTTAAATGTGAATTTAATTTGTTCCATATTAAATGAATCCATATATATAGAGAAATGATCCTGTCCAGCAGCTCTCGGTCCGAACAGTGTCCGAACATGGTCATTTGGGGCACTTCCAGGTGGATTTTTTAATGAAATTTTTTGAGCATGTTCCTCATCACGTCTAGTTTGTCCATATAAAATTTCAACTCAAAATTCGTTCGAGAAGGCATTCAAATCATTTTTTGAAGTTGACTGCGTCAAAATATGTGCGAATTTTGAGCTGAAATTTGGTATGGACAAACTAGACGTGACGAGGAACATGCTCAAAAAATTTCATCAAAAAAATCCACCGGGAAGTGCCCCAAATGGCCATGTTCGGACACTGTTCGGACCGGGGGCTGCTGGACAGGATCGTTTCTCTACACACACGTGTGTGTGTGTGATATTACGTGTACACATATCTCCGTGTTTGCTATATGTATAATATGTGTGTGCGCATACATTGGTCTAGGATTATTGTGTGCATGCGCACATATACCGGACTGGGGTTATTGGCTCATTTGAACACACTAAGAGCATCTCTAATGCTTAAATTTCAACAGTACAAAAATGATGACACATGTCAAAAGATGAATAAAGAAGTTATCCACCTAATACCATTGTTATGCTTAATAAATAAAACATACAAAAACTTGTCCAATGCGCACTTTCGGTAAATCAAGTGTGAAGACTATGTGGCATTTATTTGCTTTTAAATCAATTAAAGTAAATCTAAATTTAAAAAATAAGTTACGCACTGAGTTTCCTATTTGTACTCGGATGCTACGTTGCAATAATCATGAACCAATTTTTCGCCTAAAATCTGCTCATAATGCAGAACAATAGCCCTTCTCTCCTGCCGCATACTGTTTAATAGGCTGTGAGATATTCCAAATCATGATCGACGTTGTTTACATTTAATTTTTACACATCAGCATAACAGTGGTAGAGAAAGAATGCATTGGAGGAGAAAAAATAATTCACTTTTCCCACTCGATGATATGACATGGACGAATTATTTACTGTTAAAAGCCCTCCACCGGAGATGCTCTAATAGTTCTTATGTGCCGGCCTGGGTCCAACATTTGTAATGAACATAAGGGTAATTCTAAATGTAGCATGTATTTTACTAAACACAACCCCTAATTATAATTAATTAACTAAATATAAATAAAATGCCTACTATATTATCCCAACATCATCCCGTTGATGTCTTTGACGGCTATAGCCTATGGACTTCTTCGATTGAGACGAGAAGTATATACGTAAGATGTTGATTATCTCTTTGATTATGAGTCTCAGAACGTGAACCAAGGGATATCCGGCAAGCTATAATGCTATAAAATGGTCTGTCGGAAATGGAGTTCTTATCTGCTTTGGCTCGCTAATCAGTAATCACTCTACTACCGAGGAGAGAGCAGACCAGACAATCACCTAATATGTTCTATGAAGGTGGGCCTGCCAAAGAACACCACTGGATTTCGCGACCTGGCGGCAAAGGTTGAGGTTCCAACCGAGGAGCTTATGACTGCTTCACCACGACGGCGGTGACCCATTATAGGAGGCAACAACACTTCACCTTTGGCGCCTCAACCGGAATCGAACCTCCAGCCCCTGACTTCGCCGCTGCAACTCTGAAACTTCCAACATCAGACCTACTCCAGACCCCCCAAGTCCCCAACATCGTCTCTCTGACTAGTGACCGCAAACCTGAAAGGGAGACTTAGACCTCCGTTATGGTTGAGCAATAACTATAGTTTCATATACACAAAGTAATACTAGTAAATCATTTTCGGATGGACTGAAGGAATCACAGTAGACCAGTTGAGAAAAGCTCGTGGGGGTCGGAGAAAAGTGGTTTGTGAATGATGTTGGGATAAATAGGGATACTATATGCACTTAATTTATATTCTATTAATTAATTTTAATTAGGGTTGTGTTTAGTAAAACAAGGACCACATATAGAATTCCCCTTAACATAAACGTATGCGTTTGTCAATTTTTATGGAGAAAAGGGGCAAATGAGCCTTTGAACTATTTGTGATTTGCATTACACCTCTCAACTCCTTGAAAAATAAGTAATCGGATCCTATTTACCTGTTCGTGCCAGTAATTTCCCATCTCCTTACTTGCACCAGCAGGTATAAAAGGATCTGTTTACTTAAACTTAATGAGTTGGGGGTTATATTTGCAAGTCTTCCGGTTCAGGCACAAATAGTTCGAGAACTTATTTGCCTCTTTTCCTCTAGTTTTTATGGGTGAAGCACATATATATTGGGCTTGGATAATTGGCTCGTATGAGGACACTCATATTTGTTATGTGTCGGGCCGGGTCCAACCTTTGTGGATGAACATACATGATCATACTTTGCAACTTTTATGGGTGATCCACATATGTTGGGCTGGGATTATTGGCTCATATGAGCCCATCTCAGACATTTGGGCCTAGGCCTAATATCACAACACTTCTTACCCCTCATATATGTCCTTTACTGTTCACCTCTCTAGGGTGATAACTTTTCGTCATACAATTCCACATATAGATGTAGATGTGAAAAAGAATACTTCTTTCATTCGGTTAGACTTTGTAATTTTATTTTTCATTCGGTTAGACTTTGTAATTTTATTATTCATGTGACTAACATGAATAAATTTTAATTTGATTTTGTATATCAATTTGAGAAATTAAAATCTAATTTGTCCCTTCAATAGAATTTTTAATATCAAATTAAATACTCCCTCCGTTTCGCAAAGAAAGTCACGGTTTGACTTCTCTAGGATTAAAGAAATAAATTGACTTTACTGTAGAAAATACTTTTTAGACACTGTTTGGCACTATTTTGAAGTAGATTTGTTTGCCAAATAAGGAAATAAGGGAAGTGTGACTTTGTTTTTGAAACATCCAAAAAAGGAAAGTGTGACTTTGTTTGCGAAACGGAGGGAGTATCTATTTACAAGAATTTAGGATAGCTTTACTTAGACTGTAATTTGCTGGTCTGATCTGATCTAGTTTGGTATGGTCTAATCTGATCTGGTGTGATC